CTTGTGCCATAAAAAAAGAACAATATTCAATGATTATCACCCAAATCTACTTCGGTTAACAGTTTTTGAGTTTCAGTGTCAGCGAACAAAGCAATTAGCATGTCTTTAATTGCTGTCGTTTTGAGGTGGATTCGTCAATATATCCGACACATGTGATAGTATTTCGGCTTCGATGATGCTTACGACATAATCCTATTTTGTTTCATCAACAGTTATTGAAGCTTTTCGGAATTATGCAAGAAACTACAAATACCATATATTTGGATTCGATTTCCAAAACCGTGTAGGGTTAATGATAAACCCGGCAATGCTCGGTGTAGAAGGATTGCTTTTATCATTTCTAACGTCGCGTGTCATTTTGTTTGATTTGTTTTAGAGTCCAGTTGTCACCATGGAGTTCCTATTACCACGAGAGCTAGAAGACTCTTAACAGAAAAATTAAAAGCAGCAAAAGAGGAATTTAACTTCATGTTGTAACAAGGTCTTTGTAGACCTTCAAAAAGTTGTTGTTTCTGCCCCTCTTCATCTCACCTTAAAGAAATCAGGTGACTGGAGACCATGTGAAGATTAAAGAGCCCTTAACAATATCACTGTTCCAGACCGTTACACTTTACCATTTCTCACAGACTATAGTTTTATTCCAAACAGAAAGAAAAAATTTTCTTCGCTAGTTCGAGTTTAGCAACAAATTCCAGTGCACGAGGCCGACATTCCAAAAGCAGCAATTATTACTCCACTCGGCTTGTTTGAATTTCCATTTATGACTTTTGGTTTACGTAACGCAGCTCAAACCTTTCAACGATTCATGAATATGGTCTTATCAGGATTAGATTTTGTGTTTTGCTATTTAAACGACATATTGATTGCATCCCCAGATGACAAAAGGCACCGCGAACACTTAAACATAGCTTTTAAAAGATTAAATGATTACGGCTTATGCATCAATACCGCAAAATGAGTTTTCGGTGCATGGAAAATTAATTTGGGATGCGAAATTTTAACTGAAGGATTTAAAACTCTTTCGGTGAAAGTTGAAGCTATACAATACAAATCGTACCTGAGCCCACATCAACTTCTAGTCTTCGCTAGTTTTTAGGGATGATTAATTTTTATCACCGTTTCATTCCAAATTGTGCTGAACTGCAACAGCCATTGATCTCATTACTTAGTGGGAGTAGCAAAAACAGTAAAATAACCTTTAATTTGGAATGAAGATGCTTGCAACACCTTTAGAAACCTTAAAAACTCTCTTTGTAATGCTATTACGCTGGTTCACCCATCAAATAACGCTGCTGTATCTCTCACATGCGACGCTTCTGATACTGCCATAGGGGCGGTAATACATCAAATTGAACGGGGTGAAATGCGTCCATTAAGTTTCTTTTCGTGTTCTTTAACTGATACGCAGAGAAAATATAGTGCGTATGATCGGGAACTTGTGTCTAAAATAAAACATTTGAAGTACATTTTAGAAAGAATAACTTTCATCATTTATACGGACTACAAATCTCTCACATTTGCTTTCCAGCAAAATTTAGAAAAAGCCACCCCTAGACAAGCAAGACAACTTAATTATTGCTCAAGTTTCGACAAATATTAAATATGTTGCGGAAGAGGAAAATGTTGCAGCAGACGCTCTTTTTAAAATTAACATAATTTCGATGCCATCGCCGATTGATTATTATACAACCATAGCGTAATTTCAAAATGATGAAGATTTTACCACGTTAAGAAATAATCCAAGGCAAAAGAAAGTTAAAATCCCTATTCCAGGCACCGGGAAATCTATTTATTGGGATGCGTCAACCAACAGTAACCGCCCATACATTTCTTCAAAATTTCGCAGACAAATATTTTCATCTATCCATAGCCTATCACATCTAGGGATTAGAAGCACTAGGAAACTCATCACGAAAAGATTTAGATGGTCGAATATCAATAAGCACTACCAGCTATGGTCGAGAGCTGGTTTATCATGTCAACAATCTAAAATACATAAACATATACAATCAGCACTAGGAGAATTTGCAATTCTTCAATATAGATTCAAGCACTTAAACATCGACGTAGTTGGTTCTTTACCTATTTTCAAAGCAATTAGATATCTTTTAACTATCATTGGGTCCCTATACAAGATGGATTGAAGCTATTCCATTAGAAGATTAATCTGCAGAATCGATTGCCAAAGCTTTGACTTCCAACTGGTTTTCACGCTTTGGTATTCCAACTCACATAACTTCCGACCAAGGTCGAGAATTCGAAAGTCATTTCGCGCCTTGGGAAAATACATTGGATTTCTTTCTAACACTACAACAGCCCAAGCAAATGGATTGATGAAAATACAGCTCAGAACTTTAAAAGCAAGCCTCAAATGCCATCTACTAGAATCAAAATCATGGCTGGAAGCACTGCCTTTCGTTATTCTGGGAATAAGAGCCGCCGTCAAGGAAGCAGAGCTAGCATAATGAACTGCCTTATCATTACCAGGAGAGCTGTTTTAAATACTTCCTGATATGGCACAGTCTGAATTTTCTCAAAACTTACAGAGAATCATAAAGAGGATGAAACCTATCTCTACCAAGAACTAAAACCAAGAACTATTCTAAAAAGAACAGTTTTCGTTTCAAAACAACTTTCAAATTGTTAAACACGTATTCCTTCACAAGAACAACATCAATTAACTACAACCAGTCTAACTTGGACCATACTCCGCAAAATCTAGAAAAGATAAATACTTCGATATTGAAATTCAGGGTAAAATCAAAATTTCACTAGGATTTCGAAAAACTACAAAAGTAATTAACTTACTTTTAAACTTCAAATCTAAAATTTCTTACATATTTATGTTTTTTCTATTAAAGTAAATGTATGTTTCAACCACAATTAAAAGGAAACATGAGACCACTTCCCGATAACCTTAATATTTATTTTAAATTAGCTAAAAAAAATTCTCGTTAAATATGCATGCACAATGACAATTAACTTTTTACTGAATTGAAACTTTGAAAAGTGAAATTTTTAATTATTGTACAAATGCGGCTTCTTTAAAATTAAGTTTTTCAGGAACTATTCAATTGATATCGTCGAAATTAAATTTTTGTTGACCATTATTAAATAAAATATAATAAATAATAATTACTGAAAGTTACATTTTTCATGGAAATATTTTTGAATAAGCAAATTTTAAAATTGTGTGCAAAAAAAATTTAAATTTGCTTTAAAAGTTTTCGAGATATGGTGAAATACGCGAAAAATAAAATTAACATTAAGAGATCCAAATTTTGGATCCCTCTCTTGACTAAATAATTAGGATCAAATGTCCGAGATTGCTACTATCCCTGTATTTTGGGGTAGTAGAACACAGATTTAACTTGAAAAGGAAATCGGTAAAATCTTCTTTAAAAATAAATTTATCCAATAACTCTTTTGTCTTTGTACTTTTAAATTTATATGTGCTTGCATTTTGTTATTGTTAATTAAAATCTCGAACAAAGTAAGCTGAAAATTAACATCATCGAAATAATAACAATTAAAATATAGTTCTATGAAAAATTTTTTGTAGTATCTCAATACATTTTTATTACTGGTCAACTGTGTTTGGGTGTTATTATTTTTTCAAATAATAAATTCAGTTTTGATCATAATTCTATCTAAAACAATAAGAAATAAAACAACCTAACATCTTTAAGCGAAAAGTGTTAAGTGTTTTCCTTAAAAATTAAAATTACTTTTATGTATTACGAAATGTTTATATCATTTCTGAAAAAAGATTTCTTGGAAAAAAGACTTTAAAATATCAGTTTTTAAAAATAACATTCCGTCGGGCACGTCTCGAAACTTACGGCATCTAACGCGGTGTGTCTGTCAGATGTTCTCTGTTTTATGCGTTTTCTGTTCTGGATATTTAGTATTATTGTCCTTTCCTACATAAAAATCATAATTATTAGCATAGTCATGTTCTGAGTCATTATAAACAGTTTCACTGCTATCAGAACCAATTTCACATGTTTCTAAAATATCTTCTTTGTGATCACCACTTTCATCAAATTCTTCAGCATTTAATTGAATAAAGCAACTTTATTGCGAAGTAAAAAATGCATTTTTGGGAGAATTAGAAGAAATAGAGTCGCTCTTTACCAAAAAAAAACGAAAAACTTGAAAGTAGTTGGCAATTTACACTAAATTAAGTCTTTTATTTAATTAAATAACAAAATATTTAATATTTAGAGCTTACTCAGTTTAAAAAGAACACAGTTTCGAACTAAATATTTTTATTTGAATTGTTAATATGCCGTTGCAGTTAAAATATTATAAAAAGTTAAAAAAATTGTAGTCAGATCATAAAAAAAGAAAAATTTCATAATTATTTTGCTATTTCATTTTTAAATAGGATGCTGCGACCATTGTCTTCAAAGCTAAGTAGACGGTTTTTAATCTCTCTCCCTTTAATTGCTTTAATTGTCCTCTCCGCAATTGCTTAATTTCAGTCCAAAATATAAATATGTATGTTACAAAAATAATTGTGAAAACACGTATATCTTATTTTGGCACTAGATATTTCACTTAGATTAATTTCAGAAATAAACTTTTTTTTAAGATTCACTCACACTTAATATGCTCAGACGATACACAATTCGACAGATAAAAAAATTATATACCAGAAAATAACAAAAAAAAAAACTTAGTTAGGGTCAATTCTTTATTTTAATTTATCGAACCGGCATATGTTCGTTAAATTTTAAAACTCTGTTAGTCAAGAGGAAAATCACGAACAACTATATGCTATCGTCAACATTGTTAAAACAGCCGGACAATCTTAAAATCATTCATCACGTAATGCATAGCGAGAGAAAGATTTTATCGACAATTTTCTTTGTATGATATTTTAAAATTGAAATTATTAAGCGCAAAGATAAGATATGATCCAAAGTTAAGATGTGTCGCTTCTTTAAGAACGGATTAATACCAGTTTCGGCGTGAAATTCGGCTTTACAGATGCTCGTTGAACCAGTATATAAACCATTCTATACTATTAATGCGGATATAAATCAAAGTTTCGATCGCTAAATAGCCATCAAGCAACTATTTCAAGATGAATTTCAATTTCTTCAAAATCGCTTTCACCACTGGAATTTTTATTTTATTTTTGCTTTCAGGTAAGTTAAAAATTATTATTAATAATACTTTCTACTGGGCATTTTTAAGTACGAATTGCTGTGAATTGACTAACTTATATTAGAAAGGTTTCTTTTTCTAGAATTCTTGATTGTACTGTTGTTTAATACGAAGCCATTGGAGTGCACTCCGAATCACTTTAGTTTTGGCGTTGTAAGAGTGCGTATGTTGCAAACAGTCCAGTTCATATTTTTCTCGCAACATCAAAAAATCTTTATTTGCTAAAAGCTTTTCTATGTACTATATTTCTATCAGAATGGATAAGCTATTACAGCATATATCAAGAAACTTAATAAATTACAATATTCAAGTAAAAAATTTCCTATACTTAGAGACTAGTATACCTAAATATCCCATTTCTACTTAAATAAGATTCTCAATTTTTCAAGCATGTTTTATTTAAAATTTATTTAAACGAATCAGTTAGAGTTAAATATCCATTCGGTAAAGAGAAATATAATATATTAAATTAGAAATAAAAGTTTGTTATAAAATTATCGTATGCCCCTTTGATCTAATGATCGGATCTTCACTTTCCAGGACTCGCTATTAATGGTTTGAGTGGGTGACCTCAAATATGTTAATTAATACATAGACGATATTTTAAGTTACGAAATCAAACACAAAAACGTACTTTCCATGAATAAACATATTTGTTTTGACAAATTCGGATTTTCGACCCCCAAAATATAGCGTGTAGACGGGCACACTTCAGCATTTAAATAAATTAAACCTATGCCTTTCGTTTTTCTTACGCTTGGCAGCACAACGATACGAAGCGCTTATCATTGATTACAGAACCCAGACTATTGATTTAGAAGCGGGGAAAATGATAATTACATTCCATTGAGATTTCAAAAAATTTACTTTAGAATTAAAAAAAAAGTATCTCTGAACAGAAATTATCAAAATTTTAAATATACTATTTCTGACAAAAAGACCTAAGTAATTTTTAGTGTCTTCATTTTAATTTCTTTTTCTGTTGTATCTCTTCATTTTGTTTCTATATTAAATTGTTGCCATCTCTATTTTGTTTTTCACATACGTTGTCGGCTTCTTCAGTTACAATTTTGTCACCTGCTACAATTTTGTCACCCAAATTATGTCACCTGAATGTGACAAAGGATTTCTAAAATGTTAATTCTTACATTTATGTCATTCATCTTTAGCCAGGCGGCGATGAAATTTCATTATGAAAAATTTTGTTTAACTTTTTCTACGTTCTTAAAGTTACGGCAAAAAAAACATAAGACAAAAGAATTATTTTTTATAAAATAGTCTATATCTCCATAAATATTTATAATTATTGCGTTCGTAAAAGAAAATTAAAAAACTGAAATTGTCTTTTTCATTATCGTACGGTAGTGCTCAGCCAATCTATAGAATGGCAAATACTATTTAGACAAAATATGAAGAAAAAGTTTTTATTAAGGCTGTTATACACTGAAGAGCAAAAAAGAAACTGGTATACCTGCCTAATATCGTGTAGGGCCCCCGCGAGCACGCAGAAGTGCCGCAACACGACGTGGCATGGATTCGATCAATGTGTGATAATTGACACCTTGAATCCTGCAGGGCTGTCCATAACCAGTGGGAGTGATAGTGGGTGGGGATATCTTCTGAACATCACGTTGCAAGGCATCCCAAATATGTTCAATAATGTTCTGAATTTAGACATCTTCTGAATTTAGACACTTCCGCTGGCCACCAAAAAACCCCAGACATGAACATTATTGAACATATTTGGGATGCCTTGTAACGTGATATTCAAAAGATATTCCCACCCCCTCTTACTCCTACTGGTTTATGGACAGCCCTGCAGGATTCATGGGGTCAATTATCTCCAGCACTACTTCACACATTGATCGAATCCAAGCCACGTCGTGTTGCGGCACTTCTGCCCTACACGATATTAAGCAGGTATACCAGTTTTTTTTACTCTTCAGTGTATAAATGACGACTGCATTCCTCAAAAAATACAAATATTATTCTGAAAACACTCTGAGTGCCGTTCAAAAATATTCAAAATGAGTAATGAAAAGTGAAAGTTGCACAAAACAAAATTAATGATTTTTTTAACAGAAACAAAATTTTCACATAAGAAATAAAAATTAACCTTCCTGTTTCAAATTAGTAGATTTAACTGACATTTTAAATTGCCCCCCATTACATTCGAAACGAATCTGAAATATATTTCTTACTTGACGGTTTCTCATCTGGAATTCTATAGAATGCCTAGGAAATTTGTGAAATATGAATCAATTTATACAGTGTTGGCTTGTTTTAGGCATTTGCCGGATCTCAAACTTTGCCAGTAATATGTACACTAACTGTATGAAATGTCAAAAAATTGTGTTACTATCTTATTCTGGAATTTTTTTTTTAAATATTTACAACATTTTTTCTACTTTTAAAGAACTTTAAGAGAATATGTAAATTGTAAAAAATAAGTTTAAGAATTGGAGAAGTTGCCCATCTACTACGTTGTTTTTCTTGAAAATTGACATTTATAAAGTATGGACACGATCCAGCATGAAAATCATAACTGTATTTCTCTTTCAGAAGTAAACGGAGGAGGACCTTATGGGGGATTAGTAGAGACAGAAGAGGAGTTGGAAGGTATAACAATACAAACTTTAGCTTTTATCAAATTCTTAATATATTCCAAATAATACTTTTGGAAGAAGATTTTTTTTTTTTTTTGGTGATTGAAAAGAAACGTGTTTAATTAGATTTCGCATCATCAACACTTTGAAATGGAGATAATAGTGGAGTGTATTTTTTATTTATATCATTTATGTTGCTGTGATGAAAGTTTATTTTACATCATACGAGGGTTGCTATTTATATTTCTGGTCTAATAATGAAAAAACAAATATGTAGGATCGAAATTGGTTTTATTGTTTTTCAAAATATTCTCCATGATGATCAATGATGCATGCAATTCTCCATGATGCATGCGTTTGAACCAATTTTCAAAGCACTTTTTCCAGTCCGATTGAGGTAACTCCAAAACATGCGTTTTGAATGCATCAACCGCTTTTTCGGGGGTCGAAAATCGTTGTCCACGTAATTTATTTTTGATGTGTGGGAATAAGAAGAAGTCATTGGGTGCCAAATCAGGGCTGTACGGCGGATGACCCATCAGTTCGATCTTTCGCTCCGTCAGAAATGCCTTTGTTTGAGTCGATGTGTGAGAGCTCGCATTGTCATGATGAAGAATGATTCGCCTGTTCTTCTGCTTTTTTCGAATTTCTCCGATGACTTCTGGCAAACAAATGGTCGTGTACCATTCAGAATTGACCGTCCTGCGTTGCTCTAACGCCACTGTTGCCACATGACCGTTAATGCCGAAGAAACAGGCAATCATTTGTTTCGATGTGCTTCTTCCTCGAACAACTTTTGTTGGTTTTGCCTCGTCTTGGAAGACCCATACAGTTGATTGCTGTTTTGTTTCCGGCTCATATGCATAGATCCATGATTCGTCACCTGTGTAGATGTTATACACAGCCTTTGATGTACCTTGAACGTATTTTTCCAACATTTCCTTGCACCAATCGACACGAGCCTTTTTTTGAGCGTTTGTCAGATTATGCGGGATCCAACGCGAACAAATTTTTTTTACGCTCAAATGTTCATGCAATATTTTATTGATGCTAGTCATACTAATGTCCAAAGACGCCTCTATCTCACGGTATGTCACATGACGATCTTGCTTTATCAGTTCACGCACAGCATCGATCTTTTCTGGCACAACAACGGATTTTGGACGACCTGCACGGGATTCGTCCTGGATCGAACATCGACCACGATTAAATTCGTTATACCAATTTTTTACAGTGCTGTAGGATGGCGCTTTATCGCTGAATAAAGAATTAAGTTCATCGAAGCACTCTTGTAATCAATTATTTAACTACACATTATGAAAAATAATGGCACGAAAATGTTCACGATTCAATTCCATTTTTTGAAAGAGAGGAACTTTTCTATTTACTGTCAACAACACAAATGAAGCTATAATGGTAAATCGTCTGCTGAATTTATGTTTAAAAATATCAAACTTTCGATTAAAATCGTCTGCGGTCGCCTAGCAACACTTACTGTTGCCAAGGCCAGAAATATAAATAGCAACCCTCGTATGAACTAGATTCAACAATAAAAAATAGTAACTTTCTATCAATCATTCGCAATATTGAATTATCCACACAAAAAAAAGCATAAAAACCTAGCAGCAATGAATATTATCATGTAAATAAAGAAGATTTGATTAAAATGTCTGTAAATAATTATTTTTAAAGATGTTGAATCTATTTTAAAGTCCAAATACATTATGTAGTAGAGAATCGCTATCTTTAATTGATGTATCAAAGCTGCCATCTTGTATGGTCCTTGCAATTTCATTAAGTGGCATTAAAATAATACTTAAAGTAAATTTTTCTAAACATTAAACTACTGTACGAATACTAAAAAACATTATTGCCTCATATACGATGCCGATTCAAATTATTAGAATTCCATCTTTCTCATACAAGGAAAAGAGATAACTTTTTTTTTAAATATTATATAACATGCTAACTGAATACCTGTTCTTCGTACTGGACGAAAAAAAAGTATCAAATAATCAGTACTGAACAACACTACAAAATATCGACAAAGCTTTCACAAAACTTACACATTGTCGACAAAACTTTCACAAAACTTACACATTGTCGACAAAACATTCAGACAAATACCAAAATAACAAAGCTGAAATTATTTCTACGTTTCTTTATTCATTTAGTATTATTTGTTGCCCTTTTTGGTTACTTTAACGAGTAACGTTATTAGATGAAGCGAAACACATTTATAGTAGTCCATGACATCAATATAAAGACTAACTGTATTCAGTATCACCTTGCATAATGCTGTTGCTCAAGGCAACTCATGATGTTTATAATTTCGCAGAATGAAGTTACTTTCCCAGAAAAAAAATAAAAATGAAAGGATTTTCATGCCGCTTTTTGTTGTTTTTTGCCTTGAGTTACTAGCTTTTAACCTAAGAACTAGGGCAATATCCGTTTTGGACTGAAAATGTTACGGACAGACGTGATTTGATAATGATCTGGTAGGTAATTAGATAGTGGACAAAAATGTCCGTTTTTTCTTTAAAGAGGATGCAACGGTGAACTCACTCAATAATTCAATTTGAACAATTATGTCGAAGAAATTTCCAACCGCTTTAACGTAAATCACCCTTTTACCTTTTTTTTAAAACTTTTTTGAAGGGAAAACATTTGGTTAGCATACGGAATTCCATACTCTAAATGAAACTTTTGAATTATACTTTAACGTTTATTTAGTAGCAGAGAAATAAATGTGATTTATTTCAACAGATTTTTCACAGATTCTAAGCTGTAAAATTTGTTTAGCAATTCAGAGTCCTTATTTTAATATTTTCCAAATGAAATCAACACTGCTCCGATTTTTAAGTTCACACAATTTCACATTAATGCTTTACATAAAATATTTCCTGAAAAAAAATTTTTACTTCAAGTATTTTTTATTTTGCAGGCATGGAAGAAGTTTTTGCTGGATAAGCATCTGACACCATGACATTCAAGAAAAGATATCTGTTTAAATCAAGGAACTAACATTGTGTTTAAGATATTAAATATACGATTTTGCATACTTTATAACTCATAAGTCTTTCTTCAAGACCGTTTTCAATACTATTTTTATACTATGCTGCAGGTTGTGTCGAAAATAAATGTTTTATTTTTTTGTGAACAAAACAGGTAACAATTTTACTAACTCCGATTAAAATAGGAATTACTCGTTCTTGGAATATTTTTATTTTATAATAATTGCTTATAGATGTAGGACCAGTGTATCGTAAATACTTCGAAGCAAACATCAATTTCTTTTTTTCTATTTCTGAAACTTCTATTTATGAAACTGCTAAAACCAAGACCGACTGTACAATCTAATGACTATCCGTTGCTCGCTTCAGATTTTTAGTTTCTCAATGCATACATTTAAATTTTCTCTTATTCAAACGAGCCAGTTATAATTAACCTTTCACTTCTTAATAGTGAAGAATCATTTTTTTTTATTTCCAATGAGCTGCAGAAGTGCGCACACATGAGCAGACCTAGTGCGTTCTCCAGAAGCGGTATCCACTCTTTCAGGACCACCACAATGGGTGAGATACCGTCAGCCATGTTAATTTGGACGTCTAGTTTCTGCCATACTAGATGGCAGCAACCAGACTCTTATTTGGATTGTAAAGTGCACTAGGAATTTAATTTTGACGGCATGCCAAGAGCCAATAAGGCACTCCAGGGATCTTTTACATGCCGCACAATCATACAACATGGCCGCTGAGGATTTTTTGCATCCCGACAATTCAGGGTCTGGGACGGGGATCGAACCCGCAGACTTGGGCTCAGAAGGCTGATGACAAGCCAACTGCGCCACCCAGCCACTAGTGAAGAATCATTATTATTTTTAAATGTACAATAGAATAAATTTGCTGACACCGAACGTGTATGTAGATAATTGTATATTTGCAATAATAAATACAATATCATGAAAAATCAAATTAAGAAAAAAAAACATAAGAAATGAAATAGCAGCGGCTTCAAATTGCAATAATAAATACCAGTTCGGTCATAACAGAAATCGTCCCTCTTACCAAAATGGCAATAGACGTCAAATTAATGATTCTGCACATGTGAGGAGACCCTTCAACTTAGAAACTAGCACAGATTGGTTTTCAATTCTTTTCTCCTACTTAGACAAGAACCTTCGCAGAAGTACAAAGCAGGTTTCAATGGTAAATTAAAGAGAACTGCAGAGAAAATCCAATGAGTGAATTTTTATTTTAAAAAAATCCCGATTAGAAATAAATATTATTAAATTACATAAAATCTGTAGCGTTTATAGGGAAACAGATTGCAATATCGATCTGCGACGCAGAAATATTTAAGTTACAAATCATCATGCAACAAAAAACAGAGGATGAAAAATTTTCCTTAAGTATTACTTTTATTCAAAGCATAAAATATTAAATAATAAATACAAAATAATAAAGTACCTATACTTCATTAATTTTGTATTTTAGTTTATAGCTTGATAAGAAACACCAAAAGTAAAGCGATTTTTTTAATTTTCTCCTAAGCGAATTAGTATTTCTTTTCCATTAATTTTGCCGGTAAAATTTTAGAATAGCCCACCCCTTGGCGACTTTTTGAAATCTCGCCAAGTTGGCGATTATTACTTGGATGGACGTTGTTTTCTTTATTATTAAAGAAACAATTTAAATTATTACAAATTTATTAAAATATTTTTAATAAAAAAAATTTAAAAAAATAATTTATCTTGGGAAAAATATATTTGAGGGTGCCCCTTGGCGAAATTGGCGCCTTATGTTTGGAACCTTTCAANTGCACTAGGAATTTAATTTTGCCGGAAATGCCAAGAGCCAATAAGGCACTCCAGAGATCTTTTACATGCCACATAATCATGCGACATGGCCGCTGAGGATTTTTTGCATCCCGAAAATCCGGTGTCTGGGCCGGGGATCGAACCCGCACACTTGGGCTCAGAAAGCCGACGACAGACCAACTGCGCCACCCCACTAGTTAAGAATCATGATTATTTTTAACTGTACAATGGTATAAATTCGCTGACACCGAACGTGTATGTAGATAGTTGTATTTTCGCAATAATAAATACAATATCATGAAAAATCAAATAAAAAAACGAAGCATAAGAAATGAAATAACAGCAGCTTCAAATTGCAATAAAAATCACAAATTCGGTCATAACAGAAATCGTCCCTCTTACCAAAATGGCAGCAGACGTCAAACTAACGAATCTGCATGTGGGGAGACAGTATGCCCTTCAACTTACAAACTAGCACAGATTGGTGGTCAATTCTTTTCTCTTACAAGAACCTTCGCAGAAGTGCAAAGCAGTCCCCAATGGTAAATTAAAGAGAACTGCAGAGAAAGTCCAATAAGTGAATTTTTATCAAAAAAAATCCCGATTAGAAATAGATATTATTAAATTACAAAAAAAACTGTAGCGTTTAGAGGGAAACAGATTGCAATATCGATCAGCGACGCAGAAATATTTAAGTTACAAAATCATCATGCAACAGAAAACAGAGAGTGAAAAATGTTCCTTAGTATTACTTTTATTCAAAGCTTAAAATATTAAATAATAAATACAAAATAATTTTGTTTTTTAGTTTATAGCTTGTTATGAAACACCAGAAGTAAAACGATTTTTTAACTTTTCTCCTAAGCGAATTAGTATTTCTTTTCCATTAATTTTGCCGGTAAAATTTTAGAATAGCCCACCCCTTGGCGACTTTTTGAAATCTCGCCAAGTTGGCGATTATTACTTGGATGGACGTTGTTTTTTTTATTATTAAAAAAAAAACAATTTAAATTATTACAAATTTATTAAAATATTTTTAATAAAAAAAATTTTAAAAATTATTTATCTTGTTAAAAATATACTTGAGGATGCCCCTTGGCGAAATTGGCGCCTTATGTTTGGCGCTATTCCTGTTTGCGCGGAACGCCGTGGTAACGGGAATGGCGGCCAAAACATAATGATATTTCATTAAAACATTGGAAAATTTCAACAAAACATCGGATAAAGCTTGCAATGAACCCAATATAAGCAAAATTAATAAATCCAATAAAAAGGATTTTGATTCGAAACAAAAATTGATGGAGTAAGCGCAGAAAGAAAAGGAAAAAAAAACAACTCACTTCTTCATTAAGCTTGAATATCCTTAGATTTAGGTGCACAGAATTATCTAATAACAGTTAGATACTGTCGAAATTTATCATGAATAGAATCTGTATACCTCCATCGCCACATAAATTCGACGAAATACGAATCGAAAATGGCGTCTGTAATACCGGACTAGCGGTGACATTTTTTTCTTAAATCCCTTTTTATGACTGCCCACTTATTGACCAGATTCAAAAGTAACCTTACCAGCTGGTATCCAGCGTAGTACTAACGGACCTCTGAAATTACAACCGTTGAACATTTAAAAATAACGCTAAAATCTAAACCAATCAGAATCACGATTGGGTTTCAACATCGCCCAGCTTGGCGATCTACCGCGATCACAACTTGGCGAGAATCAAGGGGCACCCTCAAATATAGTCTACCCTTTATCTTTACTCTGATGAATTATCTTTAGACATCTCCATTAAAACTATCCACGATATCCTTTCACTCAATCAAACTCATTTGTTCTCCACATTTAGGGTATTCATATGTTATCGAAATTAAATTTTGATTCGTAAACCATTCAATCATCACTCTTTACCACTTGCATTCAATAAAATTAAAAATTCACTCGTCCATTCGCTCTCCATTTTTAACCGGTACACCACAAAAAAGTATTAAGAATAATAAATCACTGAAATGAAATGAATGTTCAAAATACACCCGAAATATCTTCCAGAAACCTAGTTTGGCGAGGTTTCAAAAGAGTCTCCTCGGAGTGGACTTTTCTAGGATCCACCTATTTTGCCTTTCAATAAAGAATTAATTTTTTTCTTTTCAATTACCATTCATTTTAAATTATTTACTTTTACAGAAAAACATTTTGAAAGAATAACTAAAAGCAAAATAAACACGCGATATCAGATAACTTTAAGAATATTAATTTGGTGATGTAGTTCACGAATGCTACAGCGTTAATGTTGCTCATCGAATTTATCTCTAACATAACGAATAAAAAATTTTTAAATATTAAAGAGCTAGCAATAATCTTTTTTATCAAATAAAGCTATAAGTTAACAAATAGAGCTAAGTTTAATTTTCTGCGTATTTCGCTAAATCTCGTGAAATTTTTTTTAAGTAACAATGTACAAAATTTTAGCGAAACTGGTTGAATTGTTCCTGGGAAATTGAATTTCAAAGAAGTCATATATTTAAAACTCAATTTCTCAGAAAATATTCGATCAATTTCGCTCAAATTTTGAATTTTGCCGCATAAAATTACATTCTTTAAAATTGTGTAAAAATTTGTATGCCTTACAATAAACAATTTTTTCGACGATTATTAAATAAAATAATAAATGCTTATTAAAAACCTTTATTTTTTGTTCTTATGACCAAACTATTTTGACCATATTTACCAGATTGCAGCTACCCTCTATGTTTTAAGGGTGAAAAAGCTAAATTCGTTGAAAAAAAGGCATGTTTATTTAAAGATACGTTTTGTGTCAACTTTCTTAACCTAAAAATACCGTCTGCATAAATTAACTATCATACTTAAGAGCACCCCTTCATACCATTAACGTTGATTCCAGTACGTGAAAATCCGCTTATTAGACCAATATTTATTCAGGATGGTTCATTTTTTTCGCTCTATACAGTGCGAAAAAAGTATTAAGTTACTGTAAACAACATTACGTAACCACGAGCCAATTTCAAATCACATATAAGTGCAATAAATTCATAAGGTTTATTAAATTATGTTTTATGAACTGCAAAACTTGTGAGAATGTTAGACTAAATTTACCAGCTAATTAGAAAAGGGATGTGCCAGCCAGGTGGCCGAGCGGTTAGCGCACCTGACTGCGAAGTCAATGGCCGCGGGTTTGAATCCCGCTCTGGACATGGATGTTTCTCTCTCTTGTGTTGTCCTC